TTTTAAAAGTGGCCTTCAAAGATACTCTTATTTTTATATTCCAGTGGTTCTCAATTCTGGCTCCTAATTTTAACTGAACTTTTTGAGGGTCAATCCTGGAAATTCTTGGGGGATATTGTAGGCATCATGCTTGGGGGTTGCTCCCAGGGGTCTCCAGGGACCAGACCGTGCTAGAGATCATATCCATACCTCAAACCCAAAACATGCATTCAATCTATCTCCCTGGCCCCCTCAGAGATTTTTTTAAAATATCAATATCCAGACACACAAATTCGTGAAGCGTTCCACATTTTTAAGGAAAAAAAATGTTTAAAAAAATCAATATCCAGATTCCACCATAGAAATTCTTTTTTCTTTCTTATTTATTTATTTTGCTTTTTGGGTCACACCCAGCTTTGCACAGGGGTTACGCCTGGCTCTGCACTCAGGAATTACTCCTGGTGGTGCTTGGGGAACCATATGGGATGCTGGGAACTGAAACCTGGCCGGCCGCGTGCAAGGCTAACGCCCTACCTGCTGTGCTATAGCTCCAGCCCCAAGAAATTCTCATTCAATTGTCTAGAATGAATCCCAGGGCTTACTGGTGGAGCCCTTGCCATTCACATCAGGAGACCCTGGGAAAGAAAGCAGGGCAGGGAGGAGGAAGAAGTGGGGTGAAGCAGAATCTCAGCATAAAGATGTTTTCAATGGAACAGTGACCAAAATACAAAGACAGTCTACAGAATGGGAAAGGATATTCGCCAACTACACATCCGACAAGGGGTTGATATCAAGGATATACAAGGTACTGGTTGAACTACACAAAAAGAAAACATTCAACTTCATCAAAAAATGGAGAGATGAAATGAATAGAAACTTTCACAAAGAAGAAATCCAAATGGCTAAAAGGCACATGAGAAAATGCTCCACATCATTAATCATCATGGAGATGCAGATCAAAACCACAATGAGATATTACTTCACATCGCAGAGACTGGCCCATATCCACAAGTACAAGAGCAACCGGTGCTGGCGCGGATGTGGTGAGAAAGGGACACTCCTTCACTGTTGGTGGGAATGCCGACTGGCTCAGCCCTTTTGGAAAACAGTATGGACGATTCTCAAAAAATTAGAAATTGAGCTCCCATTTGATCCAGCAATACCACTCCTGGGAAGATACCCCAGAGAGGCAAAAAAGTATAGTCGAAGTGACATCTGCAATTGTTTGTTCATTGCAGCACTCTTTACAATAGCCAGAATCTGGAAAAAACCTGAGTGCCCGAGAGCAGATGACTGGTTAAAGAAACTTTGGTACATTTACACAATAGAGTACTATGTAGCTGTTAGAAAAGACGAAGTCATGAAATTTACATACAAGTGGCACTACATGGAAAGTATCATGTTAAGCGAAATGACTCAGAAGGAAAGGGATAGACATAGAAAGATTGCATTCATCTGGGGAACATAAAGTAACAAAATAGGAAACTAACACCCAAGAATGGCCGAGATTAGTACCAGGATCTTTACTCCATGACTTGGAGGCCAACCACACATACTAGAGGGAAAGGGAGCTCAGATAAAGAGGGGAACACCAAATAAAGGTGTTGGGAGGATCCGCCCAGGATGGGAGAAGCATGCTGAAAGTAGACTCTAGACCAAACATGATTGCCACTCAATACCTCTTTTGCAAACCACAACACCCAAAAGGAGAGAGAGAACAGAGGGGAATGCCCTGCCATAGAGGCAGGTGGGATGGGAGGGATGGGGGGTGTGAGGGATACTGGGATCTGTGGTGGTGGGAAATGGGCACTGGTGGAGGGATGGGTATTTGATCATTGTATAATTGAAACCCAAGCACAAAAATGTGTAAGTCTGCAATTGTATCTCACGATGTCTCACTATTAAAAAAATTTTAATAAAAAATATAGAAAAAAAAGATGTTTTCAATGGGCATTCCAGAGACCTCTAATATTCGAGCAACTAAAGAGATGGAATTTGAAAAGGCAGAGGCTGGGACGATGGCCCTAAGGGCTGGAGCGCATGCCTTGTGCTGCCGAAGTCCCGTGTTGGAGCCCTAACACAGAAGGGTCCTCCGAGTCAGCAGCAGCACCAGCCCAAGCAACACCGTCCAGCAGAACTGCAGGCTGAGCCCTCTCCTCCCTCCAAAACGAGAAACAGTGTATTGTGCTTCTGACTTATGACATTCACTATAGGAATCCCGCTAGAACATCACTTCATTTTCTTTCCCCCTCTTCTCTTTCCTTAGATAAATTGTCTTCTGAATTCAGGGAAAACAAACAAAAAGTACACTGGAGAGCTGGAGAGAAAATACAGTGGTTAAGGTGCTTGCCTTGCATGAGGCTGACCCCGGTTTAATACCCAGCACTATATATGTTCCCCTGAGCACTCCTGGGGTATCCCTGAGAACAGAGCCAGAGTAGCTCCTGGGCACCGCTGGATGTGGTCTCAACACCCCAAACAAACAAACAAAGAAACAAAACAGAAAATGAGAAGGAAAAGGAAATGGTAAATTGACTATTAATATAATAAAAAAAAGTTCATAGAACAAGAAATTCTGCAATAGAACCTATTATTAAACCATCTCAAACCATAGCAACTAGGAGAAGACCTGGCAAGAAAACCCCCTGGGGAGGCCTATAGCGACCAACCAAATAGTTGGTAATTTTCCATTTGCTCATAGAATTTTGATAATCTGGTAAAAAAAAATTGTTCAAAGCAGCCAGCCTATGATTTAGCCACTTTAAACAATTCAACAAAAGCACTGTTTTGTACTTAATCACCATTATATTGTTCACGTCCAGAATAATACCTGGCAAAGACCAGATTCTAAAAAAGGCAGACTAAAATGAATGGTCAAGAGTAACCCTGAAATTCTCTTCTTACAAAACAGACTAGCAGTGAAAACCCAAGTTGCTGGCAAATTATGTGAAGGATCGTCTCCTTTCAGTGAAATATTTCGATAGCTAAACCACACGTGTCTCTTCTACTTGGACAAGCTCATTTTAGATGAAATGGAGAAAAAAAAAAGTACTGACAAGGCAGTTCACTTTCAGTAATTTGGGTTTTCCCAAAGAGTGATATGAGAGCCAGTCATCCTGAGTTGGGCAATTTTGAGTTCCTTTTCAAGAATCTTAAATGTAGGTCAGGACTCTGCTGACGAATTTCCATTTGCTTCATAGCTGCACATCAGCCCAGATCACTGAAAGGAAGCATTGAAAGAGAAGACACAATGCAGGAGAACTGGGAAGCAGCTCGGAGCTGAAGCAGAATTATGGGCTTCAAACAGGTTGGAAGGTAAAGAGAGAATGATCGCCCAAATCCATACAAACACTTCTATTTTCTTTTGGAATTTTTTTCTCTATGCTACAAAAGTTTTCTCTTGCAAGTTCTATAAGAACTTACGATAGCGATAGCCAGTGGAAGTTGAATGAATATGGTCTAAAATATCACTTAACACGTTGAAGCTGGTGTGACAATTTGTGTTAATTGGCCCCGGTGAAGTGTGAGTGGCACCAGTGGCACTTCTCAGCTTCAATGTGTTAAATAACAGCTGTATATATTTTATTGGAGCACTGCTAATTTGTAAGTAGGACCATTTCTGAGTTGCTTTCTCCCATAGTTTTGTAAAGAGGGGACCTTTAACAAATTATGGAAAGGATCCTTATATTTATAAGTCACAGGAACCCATTTTTAAATGGTGTCAAATATCTCATGTTCTTTGCTAAGTCGTGGGTTTTGTTTTGTATGCAAGGCTCAAGCTTTAACTAATATGATTGTAAATAACTGAATTATTCAGTAAAGCACGTAACTGAACAATTGAATGATGAGATGCCAAATGGAAAAACTGTTTGAATTTCTGTGGGTTTTATTGAACACTCTACAGATGAAAGGACTTTCTGTAAGTTTAATTGGTGATAGCACATATATCTTCCTTCGTCTCTATTCATCCTGAATGAACTTTTCTCTGAACATTTTGATGTTTTTGGTTTCCTCCTACTTTCCCTATCAAAGACTGATCTTTCTAGCTTTTAATCACTGCACGCACAAATCTGGTTGGGAGAATTTGTTAGCTGAGTTAGAGCCTAGTCTTTCTTCAGTGAAAGACCAGGTGGGGAGGCGTCTGTTTGATCAAGACAAGATGTTCTATTAAGACTGGGGCTGTAGTAATAGGATAGTGGATAGGGCATTGCCTGGCATGCAGCTAGCCAGGTTTGATCCCTGGCACCACCCTTGGTCTCCTGACTCTACGCGGATTGATCCCTGAGTGCAGAACCAGGTATAAGCCCTGAGCACTGCCAGATGTGCTATTCTCCCCCCCCACACCTGCAAAACAATATATATTTTTTAAAGTCCTACTTTAAAAAATCGCATTTTTGTTTGTTTTAGTTTGGGGGCCACACCTGCCTATGCTCAGGACTTACTCCTGGCTCTAAGCTCAGGGGCCACTCCTGGCAGGCTCAGGGAACCATATGGGGTGCTGGGGATTCAATCTGCATTAACCGTGTACAGGACAAACTCTCAATCAGCTGTACTACCTCGCTGGGCCCTAAAGAATTATATTTTGTTTGTTTGATTTGGGGCCACACCCAGTGGTGCTCAGGATTTACTCCTAGTTCTGCACTCAGGGATCCAGAAGGAGTATTTGGGGATCAAACTCAGGTTGGACCATGCAAGGCAAGTGCCCTGCTTGGAAATTTTATCGCGCTGGCCCCACTAAGAGTGATTTTTGAAGAGTATATTAAATCCTATTCTTCGGTCTTATTCCTCCTCCTGTATCATCCTTCCTCGCATTCTGCTGACTTTGCTTTCCTATGCTTCCCACCTACCTTCTTATCTTCTTCCATTTATCCTTCTTTCTTTTCTTAATCAAGTATTCTCATCAAAGATAAAGTTTTTAGAGGGAAATGTAATTAATGATGATTATGAATTTGTTATTTTACCACAATACAGAAATTTAACCCTTTCTCCATATTTTTTTCTAGAGCTTATCCTATTTTCACGCATGAATCAGGTGATGATCCAATGGGATGTGGTAGTAGCCCTTTACGTATTCTTCAACTGGTGTCATGGAGGTATAGTATTTTGAGTCTGTATTTTATTTAACAGATAAATATAGCTTACTGTTATTTCCATGAATAAGTTAGGATCTCTGTGAATTAAAATGTATTATGTTGAGAAAATTATATGCACATAAAAATTAGATGGTCTGGAACTTTCAAAGTTTGACCTCTCTCTGGCAGGAATCTTTTCTCAAATGCTCCTCTGTCAGGCAGACCTTTAACTCATAGATAAATATTTTCATGAAGAGCTTTTTGTTTTTGCAGGGGGAAAGGGAAGAGGGGTCCCCATATGGTGCTCACAAGGTCTTGGGGCCCCTCTGACAATTCTCCTCCAATCAGACCAGCAACTCGATGCAAGGCACCAAGGATGTGGTGCTGCCCTTGCACCAGTGTCAGGAAGCACTGAAGTCACCTTGGGTTAGGGGCCACCAGGGCTGTACCAAAGGGAGCCATATGGTGAGACTCACCCAAGTCAGGTACTCACTGGACATTTGACATAATCATAATCACTCTACAAGCTCCCTGCCACATGGAACAGCTTGTTACCTTGAGTTGGCATGTTTTGACTTTGAGTTATAATTGCATTATGAGAAATCTATTCAATGTCAGCGTGAAAATCAATTCCACAGTGATTTGTTGATGGTAACTATGTATTAAGCCCTACGTCTTTCACTCCTCCCAACCATAGGCAGCAGTAGTGTGTGCTGTGATTGTTCCATCTTATAATTCATACCAGAGATTGGCACTGGGAGAGGGACAAGTAGAACAGCTTGGAAGAATACAGGATGGGGTCCATGAGATGTTCTGCCAGGAGAAAGTGGTATGTGGGACTTTCCACTGGGGCATATGGGCAATCCAAGGGGCTTCACAGATTCGTTCTACAAGTCCCTCTAAATCCTGATTCAAAACCAAGCCATCTCCTACAGGATGGAAAACAATTTAGAGAGTTAGAGATAACCAGCCCCACCCAAACCCCACGAGACCAGAACCCAAATCCTTCCAGCAGGATATTAGACACTTGTGCTTCAAAGCCCATGATTCTGGGCTTCCTCCTTCTCCCATTTCTGAACACCAGAACAGCATTTATCCAAATCTGAAGCTGTGTGATATTTTCTTTTTGTTTGGGGGGCACACCCAGCTATGCTAAGTGTTTAAGCCTGGCTCTGTGTGCACTCAGGGATGACTTTTGGTCATACTCAGGGGACCATGTGGAGTGCCAGATATTGAATACTGGTCAGGCTCGTGCAAGGCAAGCCCAATCTCTTCTGTATTATCACTCTGGTCTATGACAATTTGACTTTCTGTCTCTTTTGAGTGTTTTATTTTTCTTTGTTTCTGTGGTATATGCAAAAGTTTTCAGCTCAGTAGCTGGAATCATGCCCAGTGATTCTTCAAACCATGCGGTGCTGGGAGTCAGAGTCAGAGCTTCTACATGCAAAGCATGTGCTCCAACCCTTTGAGCCATCTCCCGGGCCATGACATTTCTTATGTAGCCTCAAACATTCTCACAGTCATTCCATGATAATATTTACACACACACACACACACACACAATGGTTTGTGGGTCATTCCTGGTGATATTAAGGGCTGATGGTTGGTTCTGTGCTCAAGGACCACTCCTGAAGGTACTCAGAAGATCATATGTGATGCTGGAATCAGCCATGCACAAGTCAAAGCACAACTCAAACACTTTATCCCTCTACAATTTCACCAGCTTCTCATATATAATTTTTAAGGTTCTGGAGATAGTTTGTCTCAGCTTAAATGGATGAATTTTCTTAAAACAGGGATTTTTTGGTTTGTTGTTTTGTTGTTTTTTTTAGGGGGGGGGCGTTAGGGGTAATCTGGGCTTTTCAGTGCCCAGGAATGATCACTCCTAGCAGTTCTTGGGGTACTGAGGATTGAATTCAGTTTGGGCCTTTGTAAGATAAGCACCCTATCCTTGTGTTCTCTCTCTGATTGCCCCAGGTTTTCGTAAAACCTCCACATCCATTAAATAATAATAAAAACCTTCATTTCATGCTGTTCCCTTCAATTTTCTATTGATGAAGAAATAATTTTTATCCTACCTTAACACAGTCAGCCCAGGTTTGATTTCTCCACCCTTTTCGGAGAGCCCGGCAAGCTACTGAGAGTATCTCGCCTACCCGGCAAAGTCTGACAAGCTACCTGTGACGTATTCGATATGCCAAACACAGTAACAAGTCTCACAATGTTACTGGGCCCGCTTGAGAAAATCGATGAACAACCAGAGGACAGTTCTATAGTGCTACAGTAACATTAAAATATTTGGGGCCAGAGTGATAGTACAGTAGGTAAGGAGCTATTTGGCACACAACCAACTGGTGTTCAATTCCCAGAATCCTGTATTGTGCTCTGAGCCAGCCAGGAGTAATCCCTGAATGCAGAACCAGCAGAAACCCCTAAGAATCACTGGGTGTGACCCCAAAACCAAAGGTTAAAAAACACATTAAAATATTTATAATTTTTGTGTCAATATTCATTATGTAAATGGAAATCTTCAATTAAATTTAAGTTATTCAAGTTACTACCGTAGGTTTTGTATTACGAAGACTCCTAAAAATCAAACACTGACATTTGTCACAATTTTTATAAATTTTTTCAACTTTATTTTATTTTTATGAAGTAGTTCACAATATTTGATTACATTTAATATTCAGACACCAATCCCATTGCCATAACACCTTCCCACCACCATATTTCGGATGTTTCCATCCCAAACCCCAACTCCTGTCCCAAAGCAGAACTAAAATAGTTTATTGTGCATTGTTTGTTATGAATAAATAAAGGAAAGAGTGTGAAGATTGTTGTATTGCACCCATGGGTCATTAAGCCCTTTTATAAGAGATTAGTAACATGTTATTAATTGTTAAGCCTAGTTGTTATTATTTTTAGAAGGTTTTAAGAGCACAAATAACAGCAATTTCCAGCAAATGTCTATAATAAAGTTGGCAGGGCTTTCATCATGCTTTCTTTATATGAATCAAATTTCATTAATACTTTATCTCATTGTCATCTGAGCTTATTAAAAGGACATTAAATTATTGATTTTTAAATTATAAAGATAATATACTTACTGCATAGTTTTAAAAGTTCATGAATATATACTTTGGATTAAAAATTACTTAAACATATTATTATTATGACTATTATCATGTATTTCTCTTTCTTTTTTTTCTTTTTGGGTCATACCTGGTGATGTTAACGGTGACTCCTGGCTCTGCACTAAGGACTTACTCCTGGCAGTGCTCAGGGGACCATATGGGATGCTGGGGATTGAGCCTGGGTCAGCTGCGTGCAAAGCAAATCCTTACCTGCTGTACAATAGTATTGGCCCCAATTTATCTTTAAATTATGCTTCTTTTACTTTTAACATCAAGTCTATATGAATTATGTATTTCTGCAACTTCTTTTTAAACTAAATAAAACAGTCTAAATTTCTCTCACATTTATTAATGACTCATTTTTAATAAATATAAAGCAATAGATTTTAGTTTTTGCCCTTGTTAAAAACATGGTTTTAAGAGCTGGAGAGATAAGTACTAGTCCTGCATGCAGCCATCTGGGTTTGATCTCTAGAATCACAGATGGTTCCTTGAGCCCCACCAGTTGTGATCCCAGATCTAGGAGTAATCTCTGAGCACACCCAAAAGCCAAAATATTAAAAAAATATATTTTGGTCTTACTCATTAGACTTAGAATCTCCCAATAAAAGTAGCCTTTATCTACAAAAGAGTGAAAGATTATGTACCTAGAGAATGAGGCTTGAATTCTGCAATGTTGTTTTATTTCTCTTGCCTTTGATAAATGGTGCAACCTCATAATACCTCACATCTTTTTATTTTTTAATTATTTTTAAATTATTATTTTAAATGAATCACTGTGAGGTACAGTTACAGACTTACAGACTTCTGTGCTTACGTTTCAGTCATATAATGATCCAGTACCCCTCCCTCCACCAGTGCCCATGCTCCACTACCAATGTTCCCAGTATCCCTCCCGCAACCCCCCAATCCTTCCCCCACCTTTGTGGCAGGCACATTCCCTTTTAGGTGTTTTGGTTTGCAATACAGGTATTAAGTGGCCATCGTGTTCTGTCTCTCATCTACTTTCAGCACACATCTCCCATCCCGAGCAGACCCTCCAAGCATCCTTTACTTGGTTGTCCCTTCTCTATCTGAGTTGCCTTTTCCCCCAATGCCTCACTACTTGTTCTACAGCAGGACTAGCAGTATTTTCTTTAGGGCAATTAAAGGAGGAGAGAGGCTGACTCCAGTCTTATGTTCTGTTACCGAACATCAACAGAAATGTATAGAAACAGACTGGAGTGTCAGAGAGATGATAGTACAGGTATAAGGCCTTGTATGTGGCTTGTATGTGGCTACCCTGGATTAACCTTTAGCACCTCGTATGATTAGCACAAAGCCAGGAGTGGCCCCTGAGCACTCACCAGGTGTGGCCTATGGCCTCCTCAAACAACAACAACAACAACACACACACACACACATACACCCTGGAATAACTCAAATTGAAGGTTATATATGTAGTCCTAAAACTTCTCTGATGAAAATCATTTAATAGAGAATAATTAATTTTATGGGATTTTTTATTGGAGGGACCACACCCAGCAGTGGTCAGAGCTACTCCTGGATTGATGCTCAGGGGTCACTCCCAGTGCTAACTCGGGGTGCCAGGAATCAAACCTATGTCTTCCGCATGCAAAGTTTCTTATCTTAGCACTAATCTTTGATACTACCTCCTCGGCTCTTAGACCAGAATTAGAAAAATCAATAGCTTATTCTTTAAAATCTCTGCTTTAGATGCTCATTCAAAACTTAATTATGTTCTCGATCTCTTTCCAGGACTCACAAATATAAACTGCTCTGGCTGCATCTGGGTCAAACCGGCCACAATTTTTAAGATGGGTATGAATATCTCTATCTATTGCCAAGCATCGCTTAGGTACTGCCAACCAAAGGATTTTCATTTTTATGAAAATGTCTGCGGAAAAAACGACTTCAGAAAAATAATTCCTGTCACAAAAATCAATAAAACAACAGCTCTGCTTCAGTATAACAATTTTCGAGAACCATGTGCCTCAATTTTCTGCAATGTGAACTGTCCTGGATATTCACGAGAGACACTGATTTGTGGAGAAACCATTTTTTCTGGATGTAAGTATTGGGAAGCATTCAAGATCCTAGAGAAAAGGTAGTCTAGCAATTGACTAATGAATTACCAATCCTGTGGAAAAAACAAAGCGTGTAGGTTCAGTTCATTTCCTACATTAGGTTAGTGAAGGAACTGCAAATTCAAATGTCACCAAAGGCCAGCTGGGTGAAGTCAGTGGGTGAGGAATGAGGAATGATGGCAGGGAACTGCACCATGGAAAGCGGAAGAGAGCCAGTTGTAGCGGTCAATCACCAGCATTTAATAGAGCATCTTTCAAAATAAAACACAGAAATATGAATTGTTTTAGCTCCTGGCTCTATACTCAGAAATCACTCTTCATGGAACTCAAGGGATCATATGGGGTTCAGTGGATTGAATCCAGGTTGGTCAGGGGCAAAGCAAGCCCCTATTGTTTGTTCTGTCACTCTGACCCACAAATATGAATTTTTAATGGGAGTGCTGCACATTTTTGAATGTTGCCTGTGTACTTAAAAAACAACAACAACAACTAAATTTCAGTGCTAGTATGACCATACACAAGATTTGTGAGAAAGGGCATCTTCAGATTTTTAAGTGTTGCTTTTTCATTTGTTTTTCATCTCTGTTTTGTTTTCCAAACTAATATCAGTCTTGAAGCAGATCATAATGAGAACACTTAAGGCTAAGGTTTAGGAAGAAACAAAAATTTCAATTCCTGCTATACTTTTTACCAGCTATGTGACCCTGGACAAATTGCCAAGTTGCTTAACCCATCTGAACCTCAATTCCACGTCTCTAAAATAAGGCCAATTATACCAGTTGAGTTAAGCACCAGTTTTTAGGACATTTAAAAGCATATAATATACACTGTAAAGTGCAATGGCAGTGTGCCCCAAACCTCAAAAATGCACATTTTTAATAGAATATGAGATGATTCTGATAATTCCCTGCATCTAATCCCAACGAGTCAGTTATGAATCATTGCAGTTGTTACTGCAATTATTAAGAAAAATTAAATCAAGTTAATCTCTCTATTCTTTTTCAGTTTTACAGTCACACTTGGTGGTGCTCAGGGCTTTCTCCTGATTCTGTACTCAGAGATCACTCCTGGTTCGGTTCTGAAGGCCATATGGGATGTCTGCAAGGCAAATACACTATTCACTATATGATCTCTCTGACCTCACCCCAGGAGATTAATCTTGAAAATATATGGTGGATTTTGTGCTCATAGTATTCCGAAAGGTGTTTAAATTATAGCAATTGGGATGACCTATCTAATTATATTCTTGGTTCTATTATTTTGAAGGTGAGATAAACAAATTCAATACCAGTTTAACCCAAATTCACTCCCAAGGCATCTTGATTCACCCTCTAAAAAATAGAGAGACTTGTGTCTCTGTTCTACTCTTTTTTTTTTCTTTTTGGGTCACACCCGGCAATGCTCAGGGGTTACTCCTGGCTCATGCACTCAGGAATCACTCCTGGCGGTGCTCGGGGGACCATATGGGATGCTGGGGTTCGAACCTGAGTCGGCCATGTTGACTGCGTGCAAGGCAACTGCCCTACCTGCTGTGCTATCGCTCCAGCCCCTGTTCTACTTTTTTACTCCCATATTCTTGAAAACTCAAGCTTGAGTTATGACTTCTTCCTCATGTCCAGAGCTTAGCTAAGAAGAGCAGAGCACCTGGCCCCTACCCCCTGGCTTCCAGTGTGGGTATCTGAATAGCTAGAAGCTCCCTTCGTTTACAAGACATCCATTGTCTTACTTAACTCTGCACAATTTCATGATCTTGTATGATCTTTTTTTGCTTTTTGGGTCACCCCAGCGATGCACAGGGGTCATTCCTGTCTCTGCACTCAGGAATTATCCCTGGTGGTGCTAGGGGACCATATGGGATGCTGAGAATTGAACCCGGATCGGCCGCTTGCAAGGCAAATGCCCTACCCACTGTGCTATTGCTCCGGTGAGAAGTGGGTGAGAGGGGCTGAGAAAAGGAGGCAAATCGGAGAAGGAAAGTCTTAAGTAAAAAAAAAATCAGTTGGCAACTGATAATAACATGCTAGCCTTGTCCTCAATTGGTAGTATTCAAACCACAGGCAGAAATATAAAATATGAAGGCTGCTTGACTTATCCACATCCTTTTGCTTAAAAGTTTGACTTGTTTACCCTTTGTGAAGGGATGGAAGTAGCGGTGATGTTGGTAAGAGAACATGCAAATCCTGTAAGGAGCTTACAGAGTTAAAGGAAATATTTATTTTTTATTTAGGGGTCCACAATCTGCAGTGTTTGGGGTCACTCTCAGTGCAACGATGGGAGCGGGGGTGACATGTGCCAGGGATTGAACCCAGGGCTCCTACACGCAAAGCATGAGCTTCAGTTCTTTAAGTTATCTCCCTGGCTCAGAAAGATTCTTTTTTTATTTAAGCATCACCATCACCCCCACCCCAAAGGAAGCAATACCACCAGAAAAGATCTTTCTGAGCTGCAATCTTGGTAACTCCCAACAGCTGTCCCAATATTGGTTGGAGACCTCTGTTTCTCAACCAAAGACCCAGGTAATTTTTAGGACTAGGAAGGCCCCTGCTGTCTTTATATGACCAAAAAAACAGAATGATACACATTTGCTTAGGAAAAAACATCACTCTTTCCATTGATTTACATGGTGAAGTACAACTTCTTTCACGGACCTCTAGATATGAATTTGCAATCTTAAGTGCCTGGTAAGATTTTACTCAAAACACATTCAAGTTGAATATTCTCCAGCCTCTACAGTATTAGCAAACACAGCTTCCTATTTAAGTAGGTCAAAAACGCGGGGGTGGAGTAAGGATTTTGTGGTTCTCTTGATATCACGTTGCTTTCACTGGCTCACTTTGATCACAGGATATATGTCCTGTGAACTTTACCATGTCAATGTATTGGCACTGTTTTGAACATTTTAAGTGATTATGTGTGATTTTCTTAGAGACAAATTATAAAAGCCATAAGTGAAATGAGTCATCGCCTTCCCTGAAAAGATATCCTCATACATTTAAAAGCTTCTTTACTCTTAATGAGTGATTTGTAAAATACAAACTATTCTTATAACAATTTCCAGTTTGAGTCCAAATATGAAACACTTCTTAGATTACTGTCTGTGGTTAAATGCGCACATATTATGGGAAATCTGTTTTCTCAGAGTAGCACCAATCATGGAATTAAATACTAAAAGTTGTCTTTGTTCACTGAAAAAATACCAGGCCAGGGATGTGATGCAAGTGAAGGTCTCATGTCTTGCATGTGTGAGACCCTAGATTCAATCCCTGGCATGATAAATCCTCTCTTCCCCAATCTCCCATTGTGTAGCACCTGTGGGCATGTCCCAATAAAAAGTAAATAAATGTAGCCAATTAAAATAAGCCATCACTGAATCACTGTCATCCCATTGTTCATCAATTTACTCGAGCGAGCACCAGTAATGTCTCCATTCATCCCAGCGCTGATATTTTAGCAGCCTCTCCTTACTCGTCTTTCCCAATGCTGCTGTATTGGAGGCTCTTTCAAGGGAATGAAACCCGTTATTGTTATTGTTATTGTTTTTGGCATATCGAATACGTCACGGATAGCTTGCCAGGCTCTGCCATAAAATAAACCATACATAGAATAATTGTTTCTATTTAATCACTTTTTAAATGTACTCATTTATTTTTTTTTTTGTGGTGCTGGGGTCTTAAATATGCAAGGTATGAGCTCTGCCACATCATCACATATATCAAATTTTAAATATTTAAATATATACATATGTACATATTTCCCATTTCCTTTTGTTCCTGTTGTTGTTGCAATGACCTGAGGTTATACCCACTTCGTGGCAGCATTCACACACTCAGGTGTGGCATGACACTTAAGCTGGTTGCTCGCACACACTTGGCTGCAGCTCATGAGAGATCAGACTCTATGTAGTGACACCAAAGGACACAATGAGCGGTGCTGTGGCATCACATACCTTACTAGTATGAATATCTAGTAATCTGGAATGTCTTTCAAGTTTTATTGTCTCTGTCTCTGTCACTCTCTTTCTTCCTCTCTCCTCCTCACCTTATTCCCTTCCTCCTCATCCATTTCTCTTTCGTGGTCTCAAATGACTCCACTACTCATCACACTATACTATTTTGCAACCTACTTTTTTTTGGCCCTCATGATGGCACAGCGGTAGGGCATTTACTTTGCACATGTCCAGCCTGACCAACCCAGATTCGATTCCTCCGCCCCTCTTGGAGAGCCCGGCAAGCTACCAAGAGTATCTCACCTGCCCGGCAAAACCTGACAAGCTACCCATCACGTATTCGATATGGCAAACACAGTAACAAGTCTCACAATGGAGACGTTATTGGGCTCACTCGAGCAAATCGATGAACAACAGGAGGACCAGACAGGACAGGGCAGGACAGGACTTTGTTCACTTAAACGTATTTTTAGTACTTTAACAATCCAGGTACTTAAATAGCTTTCCACAACTTTAAGGAGTATATTATATTTGGTTTAGCCGTATTTGTTTTTTTTATGATCCTTTTCAACTTTCTCCTTGCTATGAAATATTACAAGGCACATCCTTTGAAGACTTCATTCAGGATGCATTCCCAGATATAAAAGGTTTTTGTTGCAAGGTATTAATCCCACTTTTAAAGACTGTCACATGTAGTGTTCTCTAGAAGGATGACACACCAATTTGTAAACCCCTCGACAATGCATGAAGAGATTTCCCTAAATCTATTGCAACACAGTTGATTACAAATTTTTCACAATTCTTTTCAACTTGAAGGCTGGGGTGTGGCTAAGTAGTTCAATGCATGTCTTGCATAAGCGAGACTTAAGTTAGATTCCTCACACTGAAAAAAGAATTCCTAACAATTTAAGAGGTGTTCTTGATATCTATTATTTTTCCAATTTGCAATAAGGATATATTTTTCATCAGTGTTTTTCTTTGCAAGTAATCTCTTGGATAAATTATGGGAAAGTGAAGTATAAGAATTTATTTGCACTGGCAATGAATATTTGGGTATAATTTCAGGAGCATATATTTTACTATTGATAAGCCCCCTATCTCTTGTTTTTTCTGATAAGTAAAGTTTCCTAGGCATGATTGCACACAGAAGGAAAAGGAGACAGAGAGAGACAGAGACAGAAAGAGAGAGAGAGGGAGGGAGAGAGAGATCTGAGAAGTAGAAGTGGACTTTGGATCGATTCTCAGTATTTCCATATTTCTTTTTTTAAAAACCTTGGTCAAAAATGCTGGAATAAAATCACTGAAAATTCCAGGAGCTGTTTTCTAATCAGAGTTTCATAGTTTTGGGGGGCCTCAAGGGTGCCAACAATGTCATCAGAAACTCTCATCCTTTCCCATCTCTTGCGTTTGATTTCTCACAAATAAGCTGCATTCTTACATTGAGTATTGCACTCTGACAGCATGAACTGAGAGCTCACAAGTTTTCAGGGTAGAAAACACCTCTTTACTCAGAGTAGAAAACACCTCTTCTATAATGGCACCAGGAAGCAAAAGTCCCTTGGAGAAACCAGATGGGTTCATCTCAAAGTTCTATTTTGTTGGCCTCAGTCAAGTCTTCTATGAGGAGCAAGTCCTTAGGGTGGGGTCTGGGAGGAGGATGAGATGGAGTGAGAAGATGGAGGAAAAAGATCGCAGTAGAGGGGGCCAGAGCGATGGTACAGTGAGTAAGGTGTTTGCCTTGCATGCGGCAGGTTCAATCCCCGGCGTGCCATATGGTTCCCTGAGCACAGACAGGAGTAATTATTGAACGCAGAGGCAGGACTAACCCCTGAGCATCATCAGGAATGACCTAAAAAGCAAAAAAAAAAAAAAACCAGGAATAAGAGAGGAAAATAATGTTGTCAGAGACCTCACAGTCTCATAGACTGAGAGACTTACCTCAATATTTATCCTTAGAACCAATACTCATCAGAAGGAGAAGAACATTCTTTGATAAGATGCCTCACTATCTCAATATATCCAGGTTAGACTTTTACATATATGAGGACCTTATTTTGTCTGGACAAACATTTTTGTAATGGGCTTTCTCTAAGGGAGATTCTTCCAGGAGAAGGATCAAAGATAGAGCAGATGAAGAACCACACAGGGGTAGAATTCCACCTCCTGGTGCCAGCATTCTAGGCTTAAAGATCCCCAAAACTACCCATCCACTCTGGCTCCTTTATCTCTCTAGCTAGACCCTGATACCACTGGACAAACCCTCCTCTTCCTCTCTCCTCATAGCTCTGACTGCCACCATTTTTATCCCTATGAGTTTAGCTATTTTAGACTCCTCATCTCAGTGAACTTATACAGTATCTGTGCTTTTCTGTCTGGTTTATTTTATCTAGAATCATTTTCCTGAGGTTTATCCATGTTCTGGCTTGTCATCATTGCCTTCACTTTTTAAGGCTCTGTAATATTCCACCGTATGTATAAACATCAAACTTCTCTTCTCAAAGTAACATCACGTTATAACATTTAAGTAAGTTTGGGGAGTGTATCACTGAAGACAATCACTAAGCAGTTCTCTACCTGAAAGTCCCACTCTAGCCTTCACAAATCACTTGGAACTGAGGCCCTCTCCCTATTTTCCTCTGGTAATCACGAGTTGGGCTTAGAGTCTAAATGTTCATTTCTGTTGTATTTAGTTCATCCACCTGTTTTTTTCTCTTCATAAACTGCATATATGTGAAAGCAAATGACATGGGTCTTCTTCCATCTGAGATTCATCCATGGTGTTGCATATGGTAGAATCTCATATTTTTTATAGTGCTATATAGTATTCTATTAAGACATCAGATTTTTAGAGTGATTAGTAAAATAAAAGTTCAGGGGGGAAGAGATTCAATCAGAACACTAGAAAATAATATTTTTAGGACCCCAGAGATCCAGTGGTTTCCAGGTAAGGTAAAGGTAAAGGTAAAGGCCCTCCCGTTGATCGTCGATTTGCTCGAGCGGGCCCAGTAACGTCTCCATTGGAGACTTTGGTGTTACTGTGTCTGGCATATCGAATACTCTCGGTAGCTTGCCGGGCTCTCCGGGAGGGGCGGAGGAATCGAACTCGGATTGACCATGTTGGCCGTTTGTAAGGCGAACGCCCTACCGCTGTGCTATCGCTCCAGCCCAGTTTCCAGGTTTCCAGGTAGGGAAGATTAAAATGCCAAATGCTGCCATGATAAGGCTTCCTGGTAAGGAGTAGAGACTTTGGGGTGTGAATACTATTGACCAGAGTAATAGAGATAGAGAAGAAAGATGTTTGCTGGTGGAGTGGACTGCAAGGGACCGTGATAGGGATGGAATGATGGTTGTGGTGAGGGGTATGCTTAGGACAACTAACTGACCTTGTTTCTAAATAAAGTAGAGTTAATCAGCTAACTATAAAGCATTAGTACTTGTATGGTAATGCCTAAGTAATACCTTATATTGCAGATCCACCCGATGTCCCAGACAAGATAACTTGTGTCATTTACGAACATACAGACAATCTGACTTGCACCTGGAACCCCGGGAAGCCCACCTACTTAGACACCAAGTATGTGGTTCACGTAAAGAGGTAAGTACTTCCATCAACTGCTGCCCAAGAGTGGAACTGGAGACATAGCACAGGGGAGAATTTTGCCTTGCATGTGACTGTCTCTGGTTCTATCCCTGGTACCACACAAGCTCCCCTGAGAACCACTTGGAGTCACTCCTGTACACAGATACAACAGTAACCCCTAAAATACTGCTGTATGTTGGTCCTAATGAAAATATATATATAATACAGTGGGTAGGGCGTTTGCCTTGCACGCAGCCAACATGGCCGACCCGAGTTCGATTCCTCCGCCCCTCTCGGAGAGCCCGGCAAGCTACCGAGAGTATTCGATATGCCAGACACAGTAACAACAAAGTCTCCAATGGAGATGTTACTGGGCCCGCTCGAGCAAATCGACGATCAACAGGAGGGCCTTTACCTTTACCTTTATATATTATGTATAAATAGTATAGTGTATCATCTATATCACTGTCACTATCCTCCCGTTGTTCATCGATTTGCTCGAGCAGACCCAGTAACATCTCCTTTGTGACAATTGTTACTGTGTTTGGCATATCTAATACACCAAGGGTAGCTTGCCAGGCTTTGCCACGCGGGCAAGATACTCTTGGTAGCTTGCTGAGCTCTCTGAGAGGGGCGGAGGAATTGAACTTGGGTTGGCCATGTTGGCCACTTGCAAGGCAAACACCCTACCCTCTGTGCTATCGCTCCAGCCAATCATCTACATATAATATATAAAAATATATATAAATATATAAAATATATGTAGCACTGTAGCACTGCCTTTCCATTGCTCATCGATTTCCTCAAGCGGGCACCAGTAACGTCTCCATTTGTGAGACTTGTTGTTACTGTTTTTGGCATATTGAATACGCACGGGGAGCCTGCCAGGCTCTGCCTCTGGCTCTGCATAAAATATATGTAAATATATAAAACAAATTTTTCCACAAGCAAAGCAAATCCCCTCTGGTTCAGCTCATACTCTGCCTCCTCCAGCAAAGATCCAAGAAATCTGGTTTGAGTATTATATATATATATATATATATATATATATATATATCATTAGTCCTTAATCTCTCATTATTATCTATGAAGTTACACCCTACATATGGGTCATAATAGATTTCCTCTTTTTTCAAATAAGGGAAATTTTTTTCTCTTTTTTTTTTAATAAAGAAAATTTCCTCTTTTTTAAAGCACACCTGACCATGTTTGGGGGCCACTTCTGGCAGTGCTGAGGGAGAGGGGAGTGGGGAAGGGCTATGCAGAGCTCAAAACCAGGGCCTTGCACTTACTAGGCATGTGCTCTACCTCCTGAGTTATCACCCAGGTAACGTGTTCTACAGGCTTTCTACCCATTTTATTCATTGCTGGGAAACTGGTGTATGGGCCCAGTGGTGACTCAGCCCCACAGGATTTTCAAAGTCTTTGTAGTCTGGGCTGGAGCAATAGCACAGTGGGTAGGGTGTTTGCCTTGCACGTGGCCAACCCGGGTTTGATTCTTTCATCTCTCTCAGAGAGCCCGACAAGGTATCGAGAGTAACCCGCCCGCACAGCAGAGCCTGGCAAGCTCCCCGTGGCATATTTTATATACCAAAAACAGTAGCAACAAGTCTCACAATGGAGACGTTACCAGTGCCCACTAGAGGAAATTGATGAACAATGGGAGGACAGTGCTACAGTGCTTTGTAGTCTGCATCTCTATTTACAATATTGTTGGCTCTGTCGCTTAGATTTGCACATACCACCTTCTACACCACCAACCAAGCTTGAAAATGTGTCTGTCAAGGAGGGTGGCTCGAGGGTGGAGGGAACCTGGGAACATTGGTGGAGGGAGATCATTGGCAGGATTGGGGATTGGTGTTGGAATATTGTAAGCGGGAAATTCAACTATGAATAGATTTATAAATTGTGGTGCCTTAGTGTTTAAAAAAATTTAATCATTAATTAATTTTTAAAAAATACTTTCATGAACCAGAGTTATCTATAGCTCAAAAGGCTTGGCACATGCTTTGTAGTATTCAAGAGGCCCGGGTTCAGTCACTAGCATGGCCTGGTTTCCTGAATACCACCAGGAGTAACCCCTAAGTACTGCCCACTGTGGCCCAGTAACCATGTAAGATAAAGTAATTTTGTTTTAATGAAAGGACTTTTTCGGGGTTGGTAGGGTGTACAGGCAAGGAGAGAGAGACAGACAGAGAGACAGAGAGACAGAGAAAGAGAACAAGAGAAGAAAAGTGTCTGCTATAGAGGCAGGCTGTGGGGTGGGGGTTGGGGGTGATGGGAGGACACCTGGGTACACTAGTGCTGGGAAATGTACACTGGTGGAGGAATGGGTGTTGGAACACTGTATGACTGAAAACTAATCATGAACAGCTTTGTAACAGTCTATCTCATAGTGATTCAATAAAAAAAAATTTTTTTTTAAAAAGGACTTTTGCTTAAGGCCTTCCAGTCTCCTAGGACTTAGAAAATTTACTCAATCTTTTGAAATTACCATTTCTTTAATATTTAAAGTGACTTGCCTTATGTGTTTTTATAGCAAAACCTGATTCATTTGGGAGAGGTGAGGATTAACATGAAAACATTAAAATGATACTTTAATAGGATATTATAAACAATATGTTTATTGACAATATTTTCAATTTATACAGTAATTTGGCACACAGAGATACTTAGAAGATGCTTAATTGTGCTCTCAAAAGTAACACTAATTTTCTAGCTATTATACTTATGTCAGTAATACATACACCAATAAATTCACTCATTTATTCAAATTGGAACGTAAATTGAGGCTGGGGATAGAGCTCACTGGTAATGTCTGTGCTTTGTACATATGGTACATTGAGTACCATTCCTAGCAACACACACACACACACACACACACACACACACATCACCACCACCACCACCACCACCACCACCACCACCACCACCAGTTAAAACGTAAATTCATTGTGAATAAGATCTTTGCTTAAGCTCTATCACTTTAACCTGGGGTGAAACCTGCAGCATAACAAATACTAGATAAATAGTTTCTGATTTATTATTCTGTTTATTTTTGTTTTGGGGTCAGATCTTGCAATGCTCAGGGATACTCCTGGCTCTGCACTCAGAAATTGCTTCTGGCAGTGCTTAGGAGACCATAAGGAATGCCAGGGATGAAACTTGGGGGATTTCATGCAAGGCAAATGCCCTACCCCTACCCAATCTCTAACTAAAAATACACTTCCCTGGTAAGACTATCATAATCTTATATAGTAATAATAAAATGAGTTTTTTTTATCACTTTTTAATTGTTCCCCCCCCGATCTTCTGTGAAATCCAAAAAGAATTTATAGCCAAACTCAGACAAACGTAATTCAAGTTCTGAATGGATGAAATCCAGATTAATGATATTCTAATACATTTTAAAATGATACAAAATATATAAAGAATTGGCATAATAGTTAACATTCTCCTTTGGCAAATTCAAAACCTGAGCTTATGGAAGCTCAAATTGGAAAAGAAAATAATGATCTGTCCATTTATCATTAATTTTAAAAAATGCCTATGAATTTAAAAAAACAAACTTAGAAAAGAGAACATTCATTTTTTAAATTAACCACCCAAAAGGTCATCTCCCCAAAGGAAAACATTGACTTATCGTGGAGTTTGTGGTTGAGTTTGTAGGTACTGGGTTTGAAGAGGCTCTTTTAGATCCTGGGTGATTCGGGGATTTTCCACTTGGGCAGAGAGGTAGAGAAAATTTCATTTCCAACTCCTGTGGCTATTTTCCAGTAAAGTCACAGGAACAGAGGGGCCTCTTACCTCTGTCCTGTCCTGTGTCCCCGGGCTTCAAAGGCAGAAACATGGGATCTCGAAGTTGGTTTCTCTCCTTCCAGTGCTGAAGGGAGGTGGAGAGGCATGGTGTCTGCTGCTTCTAGAGCTTTCTTCCTGGTGCTTCTGTGCTGCCAGCACTAGCAGGGCTGCCTGCTGTCCACACCGGCTCCCCAGCACAATTATTTTATTTTATTTTAATTTTTTTATAATGTAGGAACACTACTATTTATTCAGCCACTGATTAAGCTGATTGAATTGGACATGAACTTCACATTATTTTTTAAAATTTTTTTAGCTTTATAAGTTATTTCACAATGTTTGATTACATTCAATATTCAAACACCAATCCCACCACCATTACACCTTTCCATCACCAAATTCGGGATGTTTCCAACTCAAACCCCAATCCCTGTCCCAAAACACAAGCAAAGTAATATGTTTTGTATTGTCTGTTATGAAGAACTGCTAAACATGATTACAAAAAAGTGTTCATATAGGAAGCTGTGTGAAGATTGTTTTATTTTGGCAGGAGCCATTAAGACATTCTGTAGGATATCACTAACATGTTGTTAGGGTTTGAGTGATGTGAGCTTTGGTATATACATATATATATACACACATATATATGCATTTATATATATATTTCCCTCTATGATTTGTTGCCTACTATCTGAACTCCATTAAATGTGGCGTGGTAATTACGGAGAATGGGTAAGGAGTGTTTTATGATGTGTCACGTGGCTGCTTTTGCGGCCGTGTGTTCCCAGAATATGTTTACTCATATTTGAGGCTCAGCTCAAGTGTGTGGATAGTGGCCTTGAGCATGGCAGTAGTTGTCTGCAGCACAATTATTTTAGATAAGGTGATCTCACTTTGGACGCCCCTCAAATCAAGTCCCTGCATTCCCCTTTGAGAAGCTTCTTTTTGCCTCCCCTTCTTCACATTTGCATGCCTATATATATAATATATATATATATATATATATATATATCTGATGTTGCATCTGTGGCTGGAGTACAGCAGGTAGGGCATTTGCCTTGCATGTGGCCAACCTGCTGACCCAGGTTCTATTCCTCCGCCTCTCTCAGAGAGCCCAGCAAGCTACGGAGAATATCTCTCCCGTACAGCAAAGCCTGGCAAGCTACCTGTGACATATTTGATATGCCAAACACAATAACAAGTGTCACAATGGAGAC